CCCCCCCGCCGGCCCCCCGGCGTCTCTGCCTCCGGCTTCCTGGAGTCAGCCGCTGGTCAGTTTTAGCAGTGGCTGAATAGGGGAAGCTGGGGGCAGAGCAGCTCCAATGGTCCGGCTGCCCAGAGCACTTCCGGGTTCCTGATGGTGCCGGACCATCAGATGCCGGACCATCGGAGTTTTACTGTAGTTATTCAATTTTATGCAATGTGCTGAATTTAGTTGAGTATCAAGTTAATGTGATACTTACACTGATGTCACGAATCATGGATAGTGAATGAATGGTTGGCATGAGTGAATTAACAGTAAGTGAGCTGAAGAGAGGCCATAGTAGGGTCCGAGTCAGTGCCCCTGTGGATTATGGACTTGTTTATCACTTTGAGAAAAAGACTGTGCGCGCCCCCTTGTGACACAGATAATGTTTCAAATTTTTCTCCAGAGTGTAGATTGTATTCATCTTTCATGGGAGCCACCTGTTTCACCTTCTGGAAATATCTTGGAATATTCAGCTTACTTAGCTATTCGTACCACACAACTACATGAAAACCCCAATCAGCTTGTATTTATGAAAATATACTGTGGTCTTAAAACATCCTGTATGGTAACTGCTGCACAGCTTTCAAATGCCCATGTTGATTACACCTCCAGACCAGCTATAGTGTTCAGGATTTCTGCAAAGAATGAGAGAGGATATGGACCAGCCACGCAAGTTCGATGGCTTCAAGGTAAAGTGGATACCAACTGTAGTGTTAAATAGGATTTATCTGCACTATGAGAGAGCTATTTTTCTGTTGAGTCCATTTTTCCTCATCAGCGTACATGAGGAAACCTCTTCTTCCTGAATGATCTGTACTGTTTTTAGAACCATTTGGTCATTAACTTGAGCATAAACCTTTCAAATAACTTTTGTCCTATTAATCTGGATGCTAGTAAAAGCTGAAAAGTAAAATAACAATCAAAATATTGCTTCACCCCACACATACACATTAGCAGAAAGAATCCAGCCAAATTTTAGATTCTAATTAGCTTCATACCAACTTCAAAATTTTTGACTTGCTCCTACAGTCATCTAACCCAGTAGCATCCATTGTTTTGGTTAATTCCTTCTGTCCTTTTCCCTCTCTAAGTAGTAATTTGTAGCCTCTATGCCCAGGTTTAGTTCACTTTTCAGCTTTCAGTAAGAGCTGTGGTATCACTGCTTTCTCTTAAGGTTGCTGAAATTGTGTTGGTGTCTTGGCTTTTATAAGGTCAATGAATTACTCGTTACTACTTTCTAGTCTTTGCATTTAGATCAGTGAAATAATTGCAGGGCACAAACTGTGAAGGTGAACTATCAGAAAACACTATTGTACACACTTGAAAACTGTTTCTCTAATACAGGAAAGAAATGTAGAGAAGTTCAATTTGATGTTTATTATTGCAGCCCTGCTTTGAGGGTTTAGGCAATAATCTATATACTGAAATCTCTAGAAAAAAGCTTCAAGAATATTGAACTTGTCAGATCACTGAAACGGTCCATGACTTCATACAGATAATAATGTGTCTCCCTCCTTCTTTTCACAGAAATGAAAACATCAAGTTCAAAATAGAAGCACTGTAGTAAAATGCAAGTTATGAATGTAGTGTTTAACACTTATAATATTTTGTAAATGCTCCAGATATTTTATTTTTGCATTGTTTTTATCTTAAATTTATACGAACACTTTTTTTTACGCGTTAAACATCAGCATTATGCAGCCTTGCTCAGGTTGAACTACCATATATGGAAATTCTTATACTGAAGGTAAACAATTAGATACTAATCATGTATCAACAGCCACTTTGATAATTAAAATTTTAATTAGCATTGTCTTTTAACTCTACCATTGACACATGAAGCAGAATTTAAATTTGTAAAAAATTGCAGGTGTACAGGATTATCTGTCACTTGTGCCTGTTTTCAAAGATTTAGTAGAATGTCAGAATGCCATTGCAGATAACTTTACAAAAGACTCATATGTGTAATTCTGTTCAGTTGAAGTTCTTGTGCCACATTCATCATATGTGGTATCTGAGTGCAAGGCAAACATTTCCATTTATTACAGTATTTTAAAATGTATAGAATATTTTAATATATATACTTTTTGTAAAAAAAAATTTCTACTATTTGTAACAAATACTTTAATCTTTGAAGGCATTCCCCTGAAGATATGCAAATACTAGGAAACTTAGTCACTTCTGTTTATGAAAAATATACATGTAATATAAATGCACTACTATTTGTTGGGATTTTGAAGTTGTACAAATCTTAAATTTGTAAATATTCTTAATGTTTACAAAGAGACCTCTCTGGTCTTAATATTAAACCCTTCATAAGGATTCATCCATTTTTTAATTCATATGCTTTGCTTCCAGCATATGCTTGCTTTTTGCACTAATAAGAATTTAATTTACCTCATTCTTATGTTTGTAATCGCTTGTGTTGCTTCCATAATGTTTCTGTAATATTTTAGTTTTAAAATTTAACCAAAGTTAAAATACATGGTAAGCAGTTTTGCACATATTATAAAATAATTCTTATGACATATTTATTCCAGTTAGTCTTCATAACTGCTTGTTTGGTAGAACATAAAGGTAAAGCAATCAGTCCAATACTCCCATTTACCTATTAGTCATTTTTCATTAGTTAGACAGCTATTTAGCTCAAAAAGCACTGCCATTAGGAATAGGTTGATCCATTCCTGTGCTAATGAAAGTATTTGTTCACAGTAATAGAACAAATGTAAACATTTCAATGCTATTTATTTTTAAAAAAACATTTGTTTACCAAAGTGTAGAGTAAAATAGCTGAATTGTGTGAGGCCACAAGGTGAATTGATTTTGAGGCATCTAATAATTTTTATAAAATAAGTTACTGGACATGTGCAATGAAGTTTATACTTTGCACTTTAAATATTTCCCTCTGCCAATAGAATATACATCAAGGTGGAATTATTTGCCTTTTCCCCTCACATTGATGTTAAGAGCATGCACTGTAAATATGTAATCTTAAAAACTAAGAATAGACTTGCTTGTTTGTTTTGGATTTGCTTTTTTAAAAAAAATAAAATAGGGACATAAATATTTGGTAAAAGATTGAATAACCCAAATATGCTGGAGTTAATTTTATGTGGCCAAACTTTAGACTTCTTAAAGGCAGCATTTATAATGGAAGTGCTGATACTGCCTTAACACAGCTACAATCTATGATGCCATGTAAAAGCACTGGGGACTTTACAAATCTTCACTATAGAATTGATTGTGACATAAGAATAGTATAAATAGTTCTTCTCCTAACAAAAAAAATGTGTGTAGTGATGATTTCAACAGTTTTACTTGAAGCTGCAATATTTGCATTATGAATTTTGATATAAGGTTTTTTCCTGCAGACAAAATTAAATGAGCTAAAAAACATTGGTTTTATGGTTCTCTTAATCAGTTATGACCTTGAACTACCCAGTAACTAAAATCTTCACTTACATGCAAGCTGTAACTAGAAAAGTATAACTTGTTTTTTTATTAGTACTGTGAAAGATGCCTTTAAAAACATTTATGGCTTTGACTTTGTTGGTTGATAGCTGTAATTGTAGAGAGATTATGTAAGAATAAAACTTGTTGGGTACGTCCATGGATGGAGTTTTTGCACTTGGTTTCATATACTTTGCACATTTTATTTTTTAAAGGATGTGTTCAGATGACCAAAGGTAAAACTGTGGTGTTTTCAATCAAACTATGATTTTTTGTGTAAGTGTACTTACATCTGGCTTAAGTTTTTGCTGTCTTCCATTGTCCCAGTTGGGTAATGTTTGATAGTGAACATATGCAAATCTCCTGTTCTGTGCTTTGCAGTTTTACTTTAAAATTAAATTACTTTGTACACTGTGAAAATGCACATTGAGGTCTGCTTCTCAGAACTGTACTTACAAAATATCTAAATCCTACCTAAGTTTCATAGTAGAGAAAACAATTTATTTGCTTATAAACTAGATAGTGTACAAATATACTGAGATGCGTGTTCCAGGTTTAAAATTTGTTTGAAATACAATTGAAATTAGCTGTTTGGGAAACTGCTCAGAAGCTTTCATTATTCCATATTTACCATTGTTAAAATATTGTAAACAAAACACCCATATTGATCAGAATACAATATCAATTTTGTAGAAATTTGTAGAAATTTCATGGTTTGGTAGACTTTTTGTTAAAGTTCTGACTGTATAAGTATAAAACTTATGTTAGCTGTGGCAGATATTGCAACAACTTAAGAATGTTTTTGTGAAATTGGAAATCAAAAGAATGAAAAGCAACATTTAGTGTTTAAAATAATGATAGCAATATCTTTGAATATACTTTGAAGTAGAGCATGTGATGACCAAGCCATAAACTTTGAAGATATAGTAAATGATGTTATTGTTAACTGGTAATTTGAGATGGTTATAGTTTTATGGCCTGTTACTTCAGTGATCTCTACAAAGAAAACTGACATTTTGTACAATGAAAAAATAATTGAATAAATCTTATTTCAAAGCATTGTTTATTCTTTGTAATAAAGTGGTTGTCCTAGAAAATGAGGCGTATGTCAGTACTTTTCAATTCAGAACTATTTGTGTACACATTTCAAAAGTCTTCTGAAAGATTTGGTTCCCTTAAGTCAGGGGTAGGCAAAATACAGACTGCCATGATACTCTGGGCTGCCAATGTCGCATGGCCCAACAGGACCCTCAGGCAGGTGCCCTGCCTGCCATGGCCCCATGCGCTCAGTTGATAGGACTACATGCATCTCTGTGCTACGAGCCCTGGGGGGGGGAGGGCTCTGTGCACTACCCCCACCTCCAGCACAATCCTCGCAGCGTCCATTAGCCAGAAACTAGGCAATGGGAGCTTTCAGGGTTGTGCTTGCAGTGCAAGCAGTGCGCAAAATAGCCTTCCTCCCCCCTCCCCCATGGAGCACATGGTGCAAAGATACACATAGCCCTAACAACCAGCTTTGAGAGCCTTCCTGGCCAGAGCCTACACCTGGCACTCCACCCACTCCCTCCCTCCAACTCCCTGCCCCAGGTCACAGTCCAGCCCCTCTATACTCCTGCCCCTGGTCATAACTCTCTCCCAGACTGTGTACCTCTTCCTACATTCCTTCCCCAGGTTAGAATCCTCTCCTGAACTTCGACCCCCTTCCAGACACCTGTATCCATTCTGCTACCCCAAGCTCCCTTCTGCACCCAACTTCCATCTCAGACCACTTACCAAATGCTTGGAGTATTCTCCCCCATCAGAAATTGCCTATCCCAATTTTAGGTCTTAAGTTTAAAGAATTTGCTTTTAAGAGTAGCGGGAAGGAGGTGTGGGCACTTTCATGATTCAGGCATGAAATATTGAGCAGTACCTTTTCTCAGAATAAGTTTATATTAAAAAAAATTCTGGACCATTCAAATGCATCTCTGCTGCCTGTTCCAAAGAAGATTGGTTGGATAAGGAAAGACAGAGCAATGATGAATAAATGTAAAAGTTTTGTTTCTCCTTCCATGACTGAGGTAACCTTAAAAAAAAGAGGTTATAATTTATTGAAAGTAAAATATTTTAAAAATAATTCCAAATTTGAATTCTTCATTCTTGTACAAGAAATATTTGTTTCTTAATGAATAGAAGATGTTTTACAAACGTATATTTTGCAGTTATTAAAATATCTGTTTTGTTTATCACAAATCTCAGGTGTTGCGATCAATCTGCAAAGTCATCCAATTCTGACTAGTAAGCACTAGCAGCAGTGTCCTGAGCGTTCAATCTGCAAAGTCATCCAATTCTGACTAGCAAGCACTAGCAGCAGTGTCCTGAGCATTCTCTCAGCCTTCTTTTGATGCGCTACAATAGTATCTCAAGTATTCAAGATTTTTGTACTTGAATAGTTCTAGAATACTTTGACACTGACATGTAAAAGTGGTTTGCACTGCATGTTTTAACTCCCAGATTATAAACAGCCAAAAAAACATTGAAAGATTGACACATTACAGGGAGGGGGGGGGGGGAAAGCTAGTGAGGGAGTTATCCCAATAACTGCATTGATCCTGTGAATGTGACTCATTACTACTTACTAGGTGTTAACCTAACCATGGTGGGTTTGGAGATCACCAACTTACTTTCTCCTGGTCAATACCCATTATGAATTTGCTTTTTATAATGTTTATATTCTCTTAAAAATCTTATATGTTTAATCTATAATCTACTCCCTGCCTCCATATTCTGCTTACATTGATCAATGTATTATGAACATCCCATTGTTGTTTCAGACCATATGTCCATTAAAAAGCCTTGAAACTAACAGCCACATAGTCAGTTTAAAAAAACAAAAAAAACCTAATGGGTAATACTGCATTTAGCCTATGACCTCTACTAATATTTTCTTATGGGTGAGCACAGCTTCCTTGCAGCCAGAAATTTGCAATACACTCTTCAGTCTGAGTATCCATTTTGTCTTGCTGTGATTTTAATAGACCACAGTAATTGTATCCAGATGTAAAATCCTATTTAAAATCCCCTTCTCCCCTGCTGTAGGCAGGAGCTGTTCCAGCCAGGCCAGACCATCCCTTGCTTATGCTTCTGCCTCTCTCTTCTCTCCCCCCCACTACAGGCAGGAACTGTACCAGCTGGGCTACAGCAGCCCGTAGAGGGTCAGGGCTCCCCATAGTTAGGGGCTGTTCCGACATCCTTGCCAGAGCAGCCCCTGTTTTTGGCTGCTCCTGCCCCTGGCAGGCAGGGAGCTGCTCCATCCCTGCTTACAGGTTAACCCTTCACATCCCTAGTATGCAGAATGAGCTTCTGGAATGAGAGAAGGTATGCATTAATGGTTAATTGCACCCCTTTCCCCATTTATGGAATTTGAGGGTGGTCCAGTAGAAGTGCTAGAAGCAGCACTTGGACTAAGCTTTATCTTTCAACTCTGGTCACTACAAGAGTTCTTACAAAGGTCTAGCAACCAATTACTACTATCGAGACAACAGCTTGATATACTATATTAATTTTAATTATATGTCTGAGTCTCCCTTGAATACAAACTGAATTTTTTCTTTCTGGTCATTTATCAGTCTTCTGGAGGACCTGAATTAGGAGAAAAACTGCTAACAGAAAATTAGCAGGTAAGATATTTCTCTGTCATAAATGGGAAGTAGTCCGTAGTCGGACATTTCTCTGGCATTATAAATAGGAAGTTGTGGCTAGTAAAGCACAGAAGTAGGGGGAAAGGATAAGCAGGTTTAATTATAGTATAATAATATGCAGCAATGGAAATTCTCTCCATATAAATCAAGAAATTGTAACCAGCCTTGAAGCATGTTCCTACCAAAAGTTGCCACAAAATGAAAATGTTGATGTGGTTTGTATCCTTTCCTCAATACCGCTATGGACTTCTGTCATTAGCTTCCCAGTATGTCAACTAATGGAGTATTTTAACATCATCTTGCCTGGAACAACTTTGTGCCATCAGGCCATGGCATTTTGGATAGAATGAGATAAATGGGTGCAGCTGGCATGTGTACTCTCCATATGCTTTAGATCAGGGGTGCAGAACCTAAGGGTCGGGGGCTGGATGCAACCCCCGGCTTGCCTGCATCTGGACCCTGGGCTCAGGGCTCCCACCTGGGTGCTCCACCCCCTCCTACTTCCCTGTAGGGCTGGAGCGCACACAATCTATTAGCCTGGGCCCCACTAGACTCTGGTTTGCGAAGGTAATGTGGGGAGTGTCTTTCTGCTTCTTAGTTGGGGGCCACATCAGTGAGGGTTTTTTGGGGGTTTTTTTGCTTCTCACTTGTGTGTGGCCCCTGACTGATTTGGCAAACTGAGGAACTTATTTTGAACAGATGTTTCTGGAGCCATAACAATATCCTTTTCCTCACGCCACCATCGTGGCTCTTGAACAGGAATTAATTAAAAAACTGGCCTGTTGAACAAAAACTAGATGGGCCCATCTGGGTTTGCATGCAATGTTGTTTGGCTTTTTGTTTTTCTATCTCAAGCTTCTGTTTTTAAAATTGTATGTTCACTAATAAGTCAGTGTGGCTAAAAATACCTTAAGGCTCAAATATGTGTATTTAAAGAAAAAGGGAGAATATTAGAACTTTTGAGCTAGGTGAGCTACAATGAGTTACTGGCAGCCATTTTGAAGGTTATTTTTATATATTACCAAAATGAGAAAATATTGGCTTGTCACATTTTAGGGTTGCCAGGTGTCTGGTGTTGAACTGGACTGTTCAGTATTTTCGCCTCCTGTCTGGTTTAAAAAAAAAAATGTTTAGAAAATACCAGATACCTAAAATTTCCCTGCCAGGAGGCAAAAATCCTAGGCTGTCTGGCTCAATACGGAGGCAGCCTGGCAACACTAGTGCTTACCGGGTTCTGCAGTGGAGCTGTCCGGCCTGGTGCAGGGATACAGTGGGCAGCTACCTGCAGTCCATTAGGGCCAAAAAGTCTTACTATGTGTTTCTTAAAGGGGCCATGCTGGTGTTTGGGTTTTTTTGGTATTTTTTCAGAAACCACTTGGCAACCCTAGTCATATGTACAAGCATAAACTATTTCAAACGTTTTATTTGAAAAAATGCAAACCTCAGGGCTTGTTCCCTTCCAAGGCACATAGTCATCAATTCCTTATGTGTTGACATCCTCTGCCCTTTCTCCAAGTCACTTTTGGGTGTAGTCATGTGCTATTTCAAACTGCCTTAAATACAGTGCATCTGGTGATGCTATATAAGACCTAGATAGGGTGTAGTCAGTGCAGTGGTTTTCAACCAGGGATCCAAGGCCCTTGAGGGGGTTGGGGTTTCTTGGGACCAGGGATCCAAGGCCCTTGAGGGGGTTGAGGTTTCTTGGGGGGCCACCAAGCAGAGCCTGGAACATAAGCCCTGGCACCCCCATCTGAAGCTAAAGTAATATAATTTTGAGGGAGCCTGGTGGTAAGGAACTCTAGCCAGTCACTTGGCTTGCTACCCTTGAACACCAGCCCTAGCTTTTACATGCAGAAAACCAGTTACTGAGACACAGGCAGGCTGTGGACTTTTCATAGCAGAAAGAAAAAGATTAAAAACTTCGGTGCTAGATCCAGCTTTGAAATGTTTATTAAAAAAAAATCAAAATCTCCTCTTGTAATAGCGTAGCTTGTTCTAGTTCATTAAGCATTAGATGGGATTTGGAATGAGCATATTTAATAAAATTGATTTTGCTATTTTTCATATTCATACATTTGTAGGTGCCTAAAAAGGTTTACTGGTGAAATAGCAGGTGCCTCATTTACATCTTTAACAGGAGAGGAAGTATGGTCTAGTTTTTTTAAAATGGGAACCCTATTTGTCATTCTGCCACGGATTCACTAAGTAATTTTTGGAAGTAATTTAATCTGTTTTCCCCATCTATAAAATAGGTGTTGCATGATTTATTTAATGTACATCACATGCATTGTACCGTATATTCCGGCATACAAGATGACTTTTGATGTTAAAAAACATCCCCCAAAAATCGGGGGTCGTCTTGTACGCCGGGTATACATCCCAGGCATGCCTGGGCTGCCCCCCCGCCGGAGCTCCTCCGCGGCTTTGCAAAGCTGCTGCGGCTTTGCTCCTGGTGCCTCTGGTCTGCTGGGGACTGTCTCCAGCAGACCAGGGACACCGGGAGCAAAGGAGGCGGAGGGGCGCTGGGGTATAAGATGAAACCCTATCTTTTAATTAAAAAATTAGGGGGTTGTCTTATATGCCCAGTCGCCCTATATGCTGGAAAATACGGTAATTGGAAGATATTAGAGAAGTGCAAAGTGGCATTCATTTTTATGGATCTGTTTAACTTCAGTCCTATAATTAATTCAGTGTCAAAATCAAGTCAAAGGGTAATCTAATCCAACACAGCACAACCTCACTCTACACTCAAAAGGCAACAGCATTAAGGAATTTGTCCTATGTTCTTGAGTGGCTGATTTCACTAAGATCCTGATGTTTCTTGGTGGCTAGCTGTAGCTTATTTATGCTGGTTTGTAAACCATAGTATATTCCGCATTAATAATAGCATATGAAAATATTTTAAAAGCAGGGAATGTAATAGAAAGTTGTCATGCATAAACCTTTATTAAAGTATCCCTCTGCAAGCCACTTGTATAGGATGCACTGCTTAGGTATGGAAAAAAACAAACGGTATACTAGCACTTTATAGACTAACAAAGCATGTAGATGGTATCATGGCCATAGCCCACTTCTTCTGATGACTGGTCATCTGAAGGAGTGGGCTGTGCCCACGAAAGCTCATGATACCATCTACATGCTTTGTTAGTCTATAAAGTGCTACAAGACTGTTAGTCTGTACAGAAAAAAACAACAAACTCGGCTACCCCTGAAGCTGCTTAGGTATGGTGCATTATATACTATATCGGAGAAAGGGGAGCAAAATGAGGATGATCATGCAAAAATTGTAGTGGTAGTTTGGAAAAGAAAAAGCCACTTTGTTCTCAGATGATAGGCAAATGAAATGGCAGCTATGTCGTTGGCAGGTTACTGCATTTCCCCCCTCCCATGCTAGTAATTTGCTTAAAATGTTAATACTCTACAGAGCAGTATTAATTACTCACCTAAACTCTGAATCTATCAAAGCGCTCATCTCTGAAAGGAAACACAGTTAAGGAGGAAGCAGGGAGACCTGTATGCTATAAAGAAGCTCAAGTGGCGACTAATACATATTATATACAGATAGCAGGTACATAAGCACAGTCTGTTTACATGTGCCAGCAGTCCACTCCACACTTGAACTATGTCATGCAATTCAATACATCAGAGAGACCAGAAACATAGGGGCTATGTCTACACCGGCATGATTTTCTGGAAATGCTTATAACGGAAAACTGTTCCATTTTAAGTATTTCCGGAAAAAGCGCGTCTATATTGGCAGGATGCTTTTCCGGAAAAGCACTTTTTCCGGAAAAGTGTCCGTGCCAATGTAGACACACTTTTCCGCAAAAAAGCCCCGATCATCATTTTTGCGATCCGGGCTTTTTTGTGGAAAAGAAATCTGTGCTGTCTACACTGGCCCTTTTCTAGAAAAGCACTGATGATTTTACAGTAGATAGTCAGTGCTTTTCCAGAAATTCAAGGGGCCAGTGTAGACAGCTGGCAAGTTATTCTGGAAAAGCGGCTGATTTTCTGGAATAAGTGGCCAGTGTAAACACAGCCAGGGAGCAAAGGCATAAGCTAAAAGTATCAAAACATGAGTGCTTAATGTTTGGCACCTAATTGGGGTGATGTTTGAAAGTGCTGAGTAATGACAAGGCTGGCTGAAGTTCATACGGTTATTGTTAATGAACATTGGTGTTAGTAGGTCCAATACACCAGAGCCCTCACTTGGGTGGTGGGGAGATATAAGCACCCTTACTCAACAACTTGAGCCCCAGTATAAATTCTCTTTCCATTTTAAAACGTGGAAGGGCTAACAAGTTTTAACCAAGAATTCCATTACTAGATGGGTTAATATTAGAATGCCATTGCATGCTTTTGCTTTGTCTTATAAGTGTTGTGTATAGTGCAGCAAGTGATCTTTCATACCAGTGCTACTTCAAAGTTACCTTGTTTTGCATTTTGATGCTAGTATGGCAACAAGTTAAGTCTCTCTAGAAAGAAAACAGGGTTACATTACTCCAGAAAACAACATTCACACAAAACTTTATTACAGAACTTAACCTGGGAAAAAACATCAAATGACATGTCTGAATTAATGTCATTTTGGGGCTTTTTTTTTTTAAATGGAACGGAATTGGAAAAGAGGGAGAACACACATCTATCCAAGTTGCACTATAAATTTCAACACCATTGCATTCATCCCTTGCCAGGGCTGCGCTCTAGAATCTAAGCTTTAATTAAAAATAAATTCCATCTCTGATGTGTGAAAAGGCAATCCTGAAAATAGCTAGTGCCTGCACAATACTGCAATGTTGTCTTCTTACTACTTTTGAAAGAATATCATGGTTGAACTGCTCCATTCATATCAAAGAGACTTCCCTCTGAAACCTAAGATAAGTTAGAGATTACGTATTTAAGTGTTAAATTTAATCAACAGTATCCAACTAATAAGATTTTCCAATAAGAGCATGATCTCTTCTGTGCACTCCCTAAGTGCCAAAACCTCTGGTTTGTCCCTCATTTTAATTACCTTTTTTCAGTACCAAATTCTGCACATCATGACCTGGAAATATGCGACTGCTTTAAAATCAATTGAACGTAAAGCAAGCTCCTATATACTGCTTGAGTTTATTAAATAGTAGGAATAAGTTATTACGTTTAGCCATTGTGCCCGCAAAAGCGACACTTGGCTGCCACAGCACCTGAGAACACTGCTACAGAAAACATGTTCATCTTGCTACAGAACACAGTGGACCATGTCCATCCCCTTGCCTTGGCATACTGTTAACCTACATTTAAAGTTGACTTTGTTACCAAAGAAAGATACATCAAAACTTCGGACCACATGACTGAGGTTTCATTCTTTTTGTTTTGTTTTAACCCAGTTTATCTAGGCTCTTAAGGTTTTAGCCTTTCACAAAATAGCTCCAGGAGGATTATGGCATCACAACAGAGTTTGTTTTTGTTTGCTTGTTTTAATTTTAAAACCACATGGTTGGCTGAGTGAGGAGTGCATTTCAGTGAGCTGAAAGTTAATAGAAATATTAAAGGTCTCCAAACTCAGTATGAGTAACAGGGATGCTAGTAGACTACCACCCTTACACTGACATAGTGACACTGAAGTATCTATAGGATTATCCAGCCAATTCATTATTTGAAAAGCCAACCAGCAACATTACTAAGAATAGTTAACTAAATATACAAAATTACATTATCTAGGTACAGTTTATTGCAAAAATTAGGAAGGAGACAGCAAACTAGACATTTGAGTCTTTCACTTAAGATTTTTATCGCTTATTTCACATTTCAGTCACTCACACATGCATACTTGCATACACACTGTTTCTGAAACATTTGAGAGTTCCTACCATCTCATAGGAAAAATTATAACATTTCAGTTTAAAAAGTTGGATATTATGTATCACAGGACTATAAAATCCCCCTATAACACTTGAGGAAACCATTTTTAGGATTTGGCTTTTCAAACACCATGCATAAAAGAAAGGGTATATCATTTAAATAGCTTCAAGACTACTTTAAATTTAACAAGTTATTCTTCAGGAGTTTGTACAGAGTTAAGTTAATTGAAAAAAGTAGCTAATACAAGCATATTTATTTATTAGGCTCTCAAATAAAAACTACTTTAATCAGGCATAAACAGCCTTTTAATTATAGTAAACCCTGATGATGATCACCAGATCTCTAAATTTAACAGGTTTAACAATTGTTTGCTTCTGGATTAACATTAAGTTCTAAAGTTACATTTAAAAAAACAATTATTTTGAGCTGCTAGAGTTTTATGAAAAAAATCCCTTTCAAATTTGCAATAAATATATCAACATTAAAAATCTAGTTAAGACATGCAAGATAATTTACATAACAAAGAACTCAAATTTTATAATAAAGGCAACTTGCATTCAAAATGAACTGTACCCTTATTTTATTCAAAGGGTAAACATGAATAAACTCAGCTGTTTAATTGAATTACAAAAGTAACATGATTCAATATGAAAATAAGAAACTGTCTACAAATCTCTGACAGTAATAAATTGCAATATACAATGCATACAGGAGTTATACAGAGCAACAAACTTGTACAAAACAATACCCTTAAAATCCAATTTTTTTAAAATTCATGAAAAAAGATTTCAGTCAGAATTCACACCTCCATTAGTCAAGCCTCAGGTAGCTACATTACAGCTATTTAATGTACAGAGAGACAACTCTCTTGTCTTTTTAAACTAATGTCTCTTCTCACAAGTTGTACAGCTCTCTTGTCTCTTATTCCCAAATCCGCCTTCAAATCATGAGAACTGAATTTGTTGAACACCAGAGATCTAGAAAGGAAGGGAACGAACATAAGCTTAGTTTCAAGTTTCTGTCCTCTGAAATTGCATTAGTAATCTTGCATGGTCGTGATGTTAGAAAGACATGACAAAAATCTAAACATATGTCACTCATCTCTTTCAGACTGGGGATGTTGAAATAGGGCTTTGAAATTTAGCAACAGAAGGAAGAATGGATGAGAGGATACTGTACCTGTTGATAAGATGTTGTATAAACCATAACATTTTGCTGCTGGCCATCTGTAGTTATTAAACCTGCTGGCAACTGGTTAGCTTAAAAAAAAAAAAAAAAGAACATTTTAGTTAAGGAAAGTCAGACAAAACATACATAGAACTGTGTTTAAAGTGTATATTATCATTCGCAACAGAACAAAAACAAGTTAGCTCCCATTAGCAATGCAGAGCTGAAACAGGTTTTATTCTGCATCAAATGATCTGAAGTCAGCTTGCAAAACTTTTACTGGTGATGATGTATGAAGGCAAAAAAACAAAAACACAAAACAAAACCCCAAAACAGCTTTATGTTCAGATCTGAGGTGGGCACCTAAATTCTAAAATAAAAATAAAAAATTATTAGAGCACTGAGCACATAGCCCACTTTTTACAAGACAATGGGAGAGTGTCCCTGCCTTGATACGGATTGGACTTATTAGTGGAGAAAATAGGGCAGCGATAAGGGTAATGGATGCAATTAGAGCTGTAATGTAAGCATGGATGGAACTGTGCAGTGCTCTGGACCGGACAAAGAGCTTGGACTTAAACAATGACCTATAGGAAAGCAGTAAATTTAATAAAAAAATTGACTAGTAAATGGACTAAATACGGTGTGGAAGTCAAGAGAATAAATGGAGAACCTCTTAGGTAAACAACATAACTGTGGAGTAAGCCCTGTGACAAGCCAAGGGTAGAATTATTACAGAAGTAATTTGGAAGCAAAAGGCTAAACATTCAGTTATAACTTTGCTATTCTGCATTTGGAGAAAATAAGTGAAGGGCTTGTTGGAATGTCCAGCTATTTCTACATGCAAAAACCTCAAAACAACCCTAAAATCAATTTCCTATGTGAAAAAAGTTTAACCCAACTTTTGAGAGTTGAACAGTTTGCATTTGAGAAGTTAAATTTAGTCTTTGCTAGATTTGGTACAAAAATTGGCTTTCATTGAACTAAGTTGTGCCCATATCAAAAGTTACATGCAAAACTTTTAAGTCTAAAGTTAAAGTCTTCAGGCAAGAAAATCCTGCACGTATATACATGACTTGCAAAGCACAGTTTTTATAAAAGACAGTAGTTTTGTCTCGTAGGCTAAGTCTACACTGCAGAGTTTTTGCGCAAAAATTGCCATTTTTTCGCAAAAACTTGAAGAGCGTGCACACTACAAGCATGTTCTTGTGCAAGAAAAAGTACAGTAAATTGTAAAAACAGGGCTTTTCGTGCAAGAGTTATTCCTCTTTTTGTGCAAAAGGCATGTGTGGACAGGCAACAGGGGTTTCTTGTGCTAGAAATCCCTATGGTTAAAATGGCCATCAGAGCTTTCTTGTGCAAGAGAGCATCCACATTGCCATGGATGCTCTTGCGCAAAAGCACATGGCAGTGTGGACGCGTTCTTGCACAAGAAGCCTGCAGTATAGACGTAGCCTTAGTCCTGCGTCTGAGGGCTCTTAGCCCTGCGTCTTAGCCCTGTGTGAAGTAAATTTCCCAACCTCAAGCTTTGCATCACAGAATATACTGAAGCCTCCAAAGTAGGGATGTTAAATTTAGATTAGCCAGTTAATCACACAGTCAATGCAATTAGCATTAACTATTCGCTTAGCCGATTAGGGCGCCTCTGCCTTTGAAGTGTAGCAACAGCCCTGAGGCTGTTGCTATACTTCAAAGGCAAAAGCACTGTGGGGAGCATGGGGCCAATGGGGGACTCAAGCAGTCCCCTGCTGGCCTTGTGCTCCCTGTGCTCCCTGTTAGTCCCCTGCTGGCCTTGTGCTCCCTGTTGCGTCAGACTCCATTTCAAAACGGTAAAGCCACATGGAGCCCTGGGTCAGCGGGGGAGACTCCGGGCTGCATGCGGCGTTTCAAAGTAACAGACCCCGGGCTCCATGCAGTGCTGCTGCTTTGAAGCACCCTCCTCTCTCCTTCCCCTTTCTGCCTCTTTCAGATAGAGGCAGCAAGGGGGAGGAGGGACTAGTCGACTAGTGTGTTGACTAGTCATTCACATCCCTACTCCAGAGCCTGGAAAATTTGAAATATGATTGATTGGTAAGCAGTGGCCAAGGTATTTCTTCAATCTTCTGCTTGCAGATTAGGGAGCATATCCCAAAGACCAAAGAGGGGAATTAGACAGTAGACTTGCACAATATATGGGGGTATCCTCTTATCTTTTGCTGTCTTACCAGTTCTTGAAAAGTACTAAACCAGTACTACTATTAAGCACACACACTAATGGTTCCCTTTAGCGACACATTTCCTACAAAAAGGAACGTTTCCTGTAAGAAACACATCGGTGTCTGCATAAAGGGCTCATTCACACATTTGAGTTAGCTTTCTCTCTTCCACCCATTTTTCTTTACGTGAGTCCTTGAGAAATTACATAAGACCTCGGATATCATTGAGTCCAGTCCCCTGCTACTTCAGGCAACACTCTTTGCATTAAAAATCTTAAAGGTTAGACTGGGATGCACAGCATTTTGTATTAGGCTACGTCGAGAGAGAGATCTTCCAAAAAAAAAAAAAATTCTTCTGAAAGAGCATTTACACTGCCAAAGCGCATCAAAAAAAGTCATCTGTTTTTTCGAAAGATAGCGTCCATTCAGTGTGGACGCTATCTCGCATTTAAGCTGTGATTACTATGGACAGAGTGGCCAGGGCACCTGTGCTTTTTCCTCTTCTTTCGAAAAAAGTCCCTCTTTCCTGTCCACACATGCCTTTTTCCGAAAGAGCTCTTTCGGAAAAAGGCTTCTTCCTTGTAGAAAGAAGTTTGCCAATGTTAGGAAAACCCCTCTCTTCTTTAGATTTTTTTTCCCCCCAAAAGAACACAATTGGAGCGTGGGCGCAAGTGAAGGTTTTTTTTTTTTTTTGAAAAACAGTCATTTATCCGAAAAAACTCTGTAGTGAAGTTATAGCCTTAGCGTCTTCATTGCTAATTGTATAGATCTATACATTGCTGTTTGTCTTCAAATGTATGACAAAATATACAGAAGGAGGAATGCAACCGAATTATTGCTGCTGTTGGAAAGCTACCCTTTGAACTTGCCGACCACTGACTTTAAACTGTCAACTTTGATGTTTCATTAAAATGTGGGGTTTCTGCATTTTATTAAAACAAAATATAAAATTCTACTGCAACATCCTCGTTGAAGTTCTCAAGATCACAAGGCCCACTGGAAACCACATTTCTGGCCATAAGAGCCTCTATAGGTTTTTTTTCATATTCTGTAGAGCCAAATGAGATTGTATGGAGGTGCAAAGTGCATTTCACTGCTTGAGCAGGTCACTACCAGTCCTCAATTCTATAACTCAAGCATTACTTTATTAGTAATGAACCAGGTATTTTTTAACAATTATGTCTCTTGAAAGTGGAGAGAGCTCTTCCTTAATTCCTCTACAGTTTCTATACTATCAGCACCCATACATATTTAAAGCAAGAACAGAAGACTCTATAGTTATAAATACCACAGTTCCAAATTTAAAAAAAAAAATTAGGGCCCCCTCCTCCCCCCCAAGAACCTTCAGGCCCTACTGCATGATATAGGGAAGTAAACTACAATGGACCATAATTCCACGATTCTTCTTTCTTTAACCACAGATGCCCTTTTTCACTATGTCCACAGAGTCTGTGCATTCTATTTATCACCAGAGAAAGTGTTTTAAAAGCACAGGAGACAGAGAGGCAGCTCATTTTCATTTTGGTAGACTCTAGAGCTCCAAGCCACAAAATATGATTTGCTTTCTTCCCTCCCAGGCATTTTTGTAGGAGTTCTCTCCATTTTTTAAGAGTCATACCAGTTTAAAAATACCTAGTAAATTCCTCTATTAAAATTACTTCCTGCATATGGGCTTGGATGGTTAGCTACTATGGAAATAAGAAAACTTGCAACATTAGCTACAGTCTTTGAACAAATTGCTATGTTCTTTAAAATGTAATAAAAATTACAGCACTAGTTCATGTTCTCACAGTCTTAAAACACTTCAGATTAGAATTTAACCCTAATGCCATTGGATATGATTACCAACTTGTAAAGTTTAATACTGTATTAAACAACTGATGGATAAATTCTAAGCCTAGGTGCACAAGGCTCCCATTGACTCCAAGGAGCATATTCAAGTGCAGGTTATTCCCAACACTTCCCAAATGAAAATTCTGATGGATTCTAAATCCCATCCAGCTAGTCTGACCCAAATTCAGTTACTAAGAAGACTATTCTGATGATTATCATTTCCTCCAGTCTCCAATCTTAGAGGTTCTATAAATAATAAAATTTGAATTAGCAAATTAAAGATTTACTTACTAAATGCTTCTTCTGTGAGCTCCTCACTAAGACCATCTGCAGTTGTAACAGTTCCTCCAATCCCTTTCTCTCCTTTCATTGCCTTGAATGAAATTTAGAAAGTGTTTGCATTAGAATAGTTACCTTCGATTGTTCATGGGCCTAGTTTCCTAAAACTGGAATTTTTGCAACTGCTAGAAGAACCTATATGCAATAATGAGAATTGTGACACTAAGGGTTCATCTATATTGCACCCTAAACTCAAAATAGCTTTTTTTTTTTTTTAATTTGGCACGTCCACAAAGTAACCAAATTTTGAAATAAAGAGCTATTTCGAGCCATCACTTATCCCTTTTACAACGAGGTTGACTGGGATGGCAGTTATTTCAAAATATTTTTCGACATAATGAGCAGCTTGTGTAGATGCAGGGTAGCTATTTCGGGATACCTCTGGTATCCCGGAATAGCTGTACAGTGTAGACATACCCTAAGAAACTTTATCATTGCATTCCTCAGATTGTAAAAATGTTAATACACATAGTATGTGAGCTTTCAAATAGCTGACTTCAACATTAGCTATGCCGCTCACACAATATATTTGTGCAAATATGAAGACTGGACTTTTATAGCAGATCCTTCAAATTCTGCAAAGGTAAGAGTTCTGTGGTAATTGACAAGGAATAGTTACGTCTGCATTTTGTACCCAGAATCCATAGCAGACTGCATATTTCCAGTACTAAAAATGTGGCAAACGTATGCTGGTTATATAAGCTTATTTGTTGCACTTTATACATGGACACACACACTTAGTACAATTCTTGGGATACGATACGGGAAAGAGATAAGATCCAGTATTGGCTTGTTCCACTAATGTGTATGTCCATAGCTATTAGAAAGTGCACTAAAGCTATGAAATAGGAAGGTCACATTTAAACCCAGAAGATTAGATTTCTTCCCCATAGATGGAGAATAGCTAGAACTGGAAGTGAGAACAATTAGTTAAAGCACACAGTGTACTATTCACTTTTGTAATCCAGCCATGCTTTTTGTGAAAACATCAAGGCAAGTACTAACAATGACAAACTGTCCATATGTTTAATGTAACTCTGCCTCCCCCCCCCCCCCCAAAAAAAACCCCCCACCCCCACAAAACTACAAAAAAAAAAAAACCCAAAAAAGAGAGAGTTTCCTTTTAATAGTACTCGGAAGACAAGACTGGGAATATGATTTATAGATGAAAGGCAAAACCAGATTTTACATGCTAGCACCATTAGCCTATTGGCACAGTTCATAGTGTAATCTAGGTCAATGTAAAGAGGAGATGCATTTAAGCCAAAAGGGCTTAAAACATTTTTCTGAAGAGTTACTGCAACATACAAGCTATAATTTGCCATCTCTGATACAAGCTAACCCAGCATTCAGATACTGCTGCTACATGAACACGGGAAAGAGGAAGAGTATGGGGGGTAAGGTGGTTTCTGTATACAACAAAGATGTGTGAGAAGAGATGGGAATGTTGAGGAGGGGGAGAAGCAGTTTACTAGCTAACAGTTCCTATAACTTGTTTGAACAAGACAGAGTTCTTGGGTCAATGTTCCATGCTAAAACCTCATAGGAAAAAACTCCCCATCCATTGTCATTAATTGCCACAAAGGGATGACAGATGAAAGAACAGAATATACATTAATCCCTTTAGCCCCGCCCCTCCAAAGGTGGGGGAAAACCCCCCCAAAAGCCAGCTCTATTTTTCCATGAATCTTAGGTTGCTGGAAGGAAGGAAAAAAGCTCACGCTAAATTCTGAAATGATATGCTCAATCTTGAAATATCTTCTGTAATAAGAAGTGTAAATCTTAATGCTTAAACAGGGGATTGGAAAATTCTTGACAACCAAAGCAAAAGAAGTTCAAACAAGCATGAAAACGTGTCAGCTACAGGTCATCAGAATAATGTGTTAAAATATACCTTTCCCCTCTGCAGATTAGAAATGCAATCTGACAAAAATGTAGTGTGCTAGCTCTTCAGCTAGTGAGTATAACTGTACCTTCACCACAATGCAGCTGAGGATCTGGCGGAGTTCTTAACAAAAGCACAAAAACTGATTTTTACCAGAACATTAGATTCTTTATAAAAAAAATAAAAAAAAACCAGTTGGACAATTTAGCTACTTTGGAACAGCAAATCTGCCATTACTCTTAATCATGCTGTTTTTATCCCATGCTTTGTTCCATTCTGATATAGATATCAATGTTATATCAGTCATTGCGAACTAGATTCTGGGGATAAGTGAACCATTTTCAGCTGTATATGGAAATGATACTAAGAGCCAGCACTGAATACAATAAGTTTGTCTAACCTGTGTAGAAAGATAGGCTACCAACCTCTCTGAATTTTTGGAGATACAACTTCAAAGGTTCAACATAACTATCAAATCCCAAGGTAGACATGGCAAAGAGAATATCCTCTCCATTGATAGTCTTTCGTTTCTCTTGATGACACCTCTCGCTTGCTTCAGATGTTATAAAGCTGATGAATTCACTTACACACTCTTGCACACACTCCTTTGCATCTTTAGCAATCTGGTAAGAAAAACCATTACTAAAATCACCTGAAGTTTGATTATACATCACCATTTTAATCAACTGCAAACGAAAGCTGCATTTACTAAGCCTGTTCCCAAAGCTCAGTTCAGAGCTCTAATCCTGAAAGGTGCTGGTCAGCTACAATTCCCTTTGACTTCACTGGAAGTTAGAGGTGCTGAGCCCCTCTCAGGACAAGACCTGTAGGTCAAAAGCCCTTAGGCCCACTAGTTTGGAGAGTCCTACAACAACACCACACTAAAAACTTAGTACTCCTACTCTTAGTACCAGAATGATAAACTGGAAGATGACAGGATGGCCCCATAATAAATTAACCACAGCAATATGCATGTGTGAACAAAATTGGTGTGCATATGCAAAATAGCCACTGGATGTCACCACTGCTCCAGGTAAAATGCTGATAAAATAGCATGTTAAATACAGTAAGACAATATATTATTTAACTAGGCCAGGTAGCACTGAAGACCTCTACAATTACTTTAATATTTCATAGCTGCATTCTGAACAAGCTGTTATATATGCACACAGTTTAGACACTGCTTTAGGTTGCATGCTTCCATTTCTTTTGGGAAACAAGCCATTGTATTCACAGACATCTGAATTCATAATCTGTAAGTATAAATGAATATCATAGGACGATATTCATCTGGAAGTGTGAACTAAGAATATGGATATGAATGACTAGTCGACACTGTTGACTAGTCACTTCCCCCCACTTTCTGTCTATCAGAAAGAGGCAGTGCGGGGGTGGAGGGGAGAGAAGAGAAGGGGTGCTTCAGAACAGAAGCGCCATGTGGAGCCCAGGGTCTGCCACTTTGAAAAGCCACGTGCAGCCCGGGTCCCCAGCTAGCCCCAGGCTGCATGGGGCATTTCAAAGTGGCAGCACCGCATGGAGCCCGGGGTCATCTGGAACTCCCCTGCTGTTGCTACACTTCAAAGGCAAAGGTGCCCTCATTGACCAATTGAATAGTTGATGCAAATTGCACTGACTATTTAATTAACCAATTAATCTAAATTTAACATTCCTAACTAAGAAAGGTACAAAATTGGAATCATGATGAATCTGACTGGACAGCACTTTGAGGTCTTGTGGGACAAAGCATTTTCATGAATATCTATTTTAATTTGCTCAGTCTGACATGGATTCTATATCTCAGGTCTTCCAAGAGCGAATTTCTGCAGCCAGGGATATTTTATCCTAATCAGAGTCATAACTAGTGCTTGATTGATTTGCCTAGCAGCAAGCCTCTGTAGTGGTTTATAATATTCTAAGTTTTCTAAAACAAGACCAAATAGCATAAATTAGATGAATTGAATTAAAGATTTTATTCTGTTAAAAATAAATTAGGGGACTTAGAATGGCAGAGGGTTGTTATAGCTGAGTATTTAGGAAAGTAATTAAGCAGAAATACACTAAAGAATTATCCATATTTGATGCTTGTTCATATGCAACGGATCTATACCTGTTGGAATATGAAGAAGGAATTTTTGTATCTCAGGACTAATAGCATCTTTATTCACAACCCCATAGTGTCTCTGACATAATTTTCAATTATCCAGACACTTAGGGCCAGCAGCTTACATTATGATATCTATGGCTAGATTTTCAAGACAGATTAGCACGCAATGTGCCAAATTCTTTTGAAAACCTAACCTCAATTATGGGTGTTGAGCACTTTTGTAAGTTGATTTAAAAGAAAAGATAAATAAATGTAACAATCCTACAGTGCAACACTGAGGGCTTTTGAAAACACCTATGACTGCCATGCTTCATTTATTCCAGGTTATATTTTAAAATCTTGCTAAGTTGTTTGATTATTTTTGTAAACTGTACAGATAAAAAGGAAAGTTTCTGAAGCAAGACAAGAGCTGCAAGCAATGCTCTGAGCTCTATGTAAAATTAAGTAGAACACAGAAGACAATGACTGGTTAAAATAAGTAGCTTAAAGGGTTCCAACACTTAATCAAATTAGGGATGTCAATGTGTAGATAACTACACAATTAATCTATAAGCCTGGGCTACTGCTGCAGGGCACCCTCTGTCCGTGGGGAGCTCAAACCCACTCCAGACAGAAGCTGCTACCACCCCCTGCAGCTGCCTCTGTATCACAGGCAGCAGTGTGGGGCAGCAGGTGGGAGACAGTTTACACAGGAAGCTGGTTTTTAAACTGACTCCCCCTGCAAACTGACTCCTGCCTGCCACCCCATGCTGCTGCCTCTGATAGAGGGGCATTAATACATGGGGTCAGTGGGCTCCCCAGGAGTGGAGTTCGAGTGCACTGGCTGCTGGCCCCACTCCTGGGGACTATCGAATAGTCATGTGATCACTAAAATTCAATGTGGCTACATGACTATTCAATTATATGCTATCTAACATCCCTAAATCAAATCTCAAGTCAGTAAAACTGGAGTAAAGATCTCATGAGAATAAGCTCTTATAAGATTTCTCATACCTTGTACTTCCAGTATGGCCAGAAATTAAAGCTATTTGAACTGCCTATCTTATGGCGTTTTGGTACCTTGCTTTTGGCAATATGCAAGTTAAAAATGAAAGATTAGATTTTTTTTCCTCATATGATTGAAAAGGAAGCTCTTATTTCATCCACATGGGTTCACTCATTCCAATATCCCTGTACTCCAATCAAAAAATTTAAAAAGTGAAGAAATCTTTCCTATGAGTTTAACAGTTGTAAGTATCTGATTGCTATCATGCCTAACTTATTAGGACAATTTTCATGAATAAATTCTGGTAGCAATTTTGAAAAAAGTTCTTATGTCTACATAAAACATTGTAGACACTAGATAAAACACAAAACCTACTTTGGATCCAGCTATATCAGTAATTTACATTTGTTGTATCAATTTAACAACCTCTTAAAATCTGGCCACACAGAGGCTTGCACCTGTTTAAAACGGATTTAGAAAGAGTTTTTAGTTAAATTGCTGCAACCTCTGTGTTTAGATAAGGCCTAAGCAAGCCAGCTCAAATATTAGCCTCTATTTTTTATAAAATAAGTATGCTTTTATGTGGCAATTATGTATAATCTGTGTATCTAGAAAAATACTACCAAACATCACAGCCATCAACTCCAGAACATGAATGAATAAATAAGTAGTTTACATATTTATGCAAAAAAGAAGATTTAATATTCTAATCTGCTTGTCTGCAACTAAAACATAGTTCAAAATTATTTTTGGGAAACCTGGCCAAAAAAAAAAAAAAAAAAAAATTTACTCTCAGAAAGCAAACTGGCAGTTTCCACAAGTGAAGATAGGAATGTTGCACTGGAACTAAAGTTTGCCTATCAAGAATGAATAAAAATTTGAATATATTCTCATTAGCAGAATAGCCCTCTTGGCTTTAGCCATGGATATTACCTTTCCTGTCTGGGGTATGGCATTTTTCATTATCCTTGCCACATTTGCAATTGGAAGATATATATCTTGTTCTCTAAAACTTTCTTTTGAGCCATTTGTGTCTTCATGATCATTCATACTGTCCTCAGTGTCTAGCAAAATAAAGAAAAGTTAGTACTGGGTGCATTGGTCAAGCACCTTTCATCATCTTACAAGTATTTAGTTACTAATCCAGGAGTACTAACATTCCAATCCTCTGATCAACTTCAAAAAGCTGCCATTAAAAAAAAAAAAAAAGCTTACCACTGAAGTATTATCATCCCTTAAGTGTGAAATTTTGAAACCCCACTGGCAACAGCAAAAAAAATAATGATACAAGTCTGAAATGAATTACTGGCAATATTTAGTGAGGTTTAAGATTCAACAACAAGGATTGAAATGGGAGATTCCCAATTCCAAGTGAATACCACACTTGATTACAGCCCTGGAAGGTTCATAGTTGTTAAAAATTAACATAAGCTCCCATAACATTGTGGTGCCTTGTTTTCTATCACACCTCATTGGTATGTATTCCTTTTCATATGTATTACATATAGACACATCCAATATTGTTCTTCCCAATGCCCGCTTCACAAACACTAAGATTTAATCGGTTTATTGAGCAATGTTATAAACTGTTTTTTTGAAGAGCCATTCCTTTTCCAGGAAAGACATAAGCAACATCCTTTGATACTTAACACACACCACCCCATTACAGGTCAACATAAAATCACAGAATACTAGAACTGGAGGTCAAGTCCAGTTCCCTTCCCTCATAGCAGGACCAAACACCACAGATCATCCCAGATAGGTGTTTGTCCAACTTGCTCTTAAATATCTCCAATGATGAAGATGCCACAACCTCCCTAGGCAATTTATTCCAGTGCTTAACCACCCCTGACAGTTAGGAAGTTTTTCCTAATATCCAACCTATTCTTGGGGAAAGTTCTCTCCCAGTTGAGTGTTGTGAGTAGCTGGGCTCTCAACATACTTTGCATGCTGTTAGGGGAGCAAATGAGCACAGCATGGAGGCACGCTGCCCCCTACTTCTGGCAGAGGTGAATTTTCCAGGTTGATTTCTAATAGTGCTTGTTAGCATGGATTACTACTTTTTTGCAAGAGAGTGCTTTCAAAGGGGTTCTGATGCCAACAACAAATGTTGCAAATCCGTTTTCAAATTGATCAAAATGGCACTGTATGCAGGGAGTTATTATGAATGTAGATAAATACCAATACTTTGCTTCATGAATGATGGAAAATTAATGGAAAAGCTAGGCAAGAAGTGACAGGACATACTTTAACTTACTTATACTAAGACAAACTTCCACTTTAACTGGCAGGCTTCTTACCATCATGAGGCTGTATTACAAAATGACTGCCACTCATGTAATCTCCAGCAATTCCTAACTGAGAAGCATCTGTTGTAGAACTGTCACCATCCATCTATAACAAAAACAACAACAAAATCATATATTCCAGTATGCTCAACTGACCCAGAAGAGCCAAAGTTGCAGGATGTAGCCCTGTCAGGTGAGAGTGGGACAAAATCTGCAACCATCTACCCCAATACATCCCACCCTCTGCTTCCCACAGTAGGACCCAGGCCCCTTGCCATTCTTTGACATATACTGACAACCCAATTTTGGACTGCAACCAACTGTTGAGAAACTCTGTTTGAAACTCTCACTAATACAGAGCAAGAACTTAAAATGTGGCTGGGAGTTAGCCCTGGGTCCACAGAGGTGCCTTTTGCTGTCCCTATGAAAACATGTCCAGATTTGGCCCAGTCACACTGAAAATTGCCATCTGACTATAATTTTCTGGATGTTCTGTGTGCATCACCTATGCTTTTTGGTCTCAATGACCGTCTGGCTTCATTCTGAAGCAGACACACAGACCAGCAGGTTTGGGTTGTATGTAGGTTAAATAGTTTCATTTCCATTTCTGTCATGAGCTTACAAAAAAAATTAACATTTCTGCAAATTCAGAAGTATCTTTTCTTTTGTTTCCTGTCTGATTTTTCTGCAGAACTGTTTTAAATTTGAGTATTCAATGATTTTTCAGTTTTGGAAATAAAACCATCATACCATCCTCCCCCCTCCATGACAACATGCCAAAACTGAAAAGAAAATCAAAACAAGGAGAAAGTCTTTTAATTTAAAGTTTCCCTCAGAAGTTTTTTTTAAAAAAAGAAACATTTTGAAAGTTTTCAGTGAAAAAATTTCAATCAGCTCTAGCTATTAGTGGGCGTTAGCAGCCATGACAATATGATTATATCCGTAACAGGACTTACACTGCAAACAATGTATGGCGATTTTCATCAGCGTTAATAAAATGGATGAAATTCAAAAATTTAGTTTGGCATTATGTCAAGAAATCCACTTTTATAGAGTACACTGGTGGCCACACTTTCCCATTGCTTTCACAGAAAGGAAGCGCAAGTCTTCTGTCACTATCATGTTGTTTATGAATATCTGAGCTCCACATAACCTTTTTAGAGGAAGCGTGATGACTGACGTGCATTTTATCATACTTACATGCTGAACATTCCTGTATCACCCTTTCTGTATCTGGGAATTAACATAAATATTTCCTATCCATAAGAGTTAAGTTAACCTTGTTTAAGGTTTTTTTGTGTACGAGGTTGTTTCTTGTTTAATCTTACCATCGTTGGCTAGCAAAATCCCAACTACTCACATCCAGATTTTTTCTTAAAAAGAGAATGAAAACCAGTCTTAAACCTCATCCTAAAAACGGATCCATCTCATGGATCTTTAGGACCAAAGATTCTTCTTCTTCCAGGCTCTAAGCTGTAGCAGACTTAGTGCTCATCTTACTGCAACCATGAGCAATATTGCAGATGATCTAGTGATAGCAACCAAGTGAGTTTATCAGGATAAAAATGCTAGAGACCTATCTACATCAGCATTAGATGAGGTCCAACATCACCAGTGCTGTCTGTTACTGTAACATGGGTGCTAGTATACCTACTGTGGATGAATCCAAGGTGAACTGACGAAGCAACCTTGTAACTACTTTGGTAGGAACTAAGAAATTAATAATGTTGCCAGTTTAACCACATGAAGACTGTGTCTGTCACAACCAGGCCTACTCCCCCACTCTTGGCAGACAAAAGTCTGTTATGAATGGACCTAATTACTGGATACCAAATTTTTAAGACCCTTACGTCTGGACAGCGATTGGTCACTGTTCTCACTCCTTGATCTTCAGACACACCAAGGTGAATATCCTGTGGCTGACACTTCTCTTGGGCACTTGGCCCCCACAATCCAGTCAACTCACACCCTGGGTGACCAGATAGCAAGTGTGAAAAGTTAGGACAAGGGGTGCGGTAAGGGTAAATAGATACCTATATAGGAGAGGCCCGAGGCCACTGTGGCAGCTGGCGCCCCAGGTGGAATGCGCGATCGGCACCCCCGCCTGCAGGGCCATCAATGGACTGACATCATTGTCGGGCATCCTGGGTGCCTCCGTGACGTCATCATCGGGTGCCCCAGGCGGCGGCACCCTAGGCGATGGCAGAGTCTGCCTATAGCCACGGGCCGCCCCTGTGCCTACATAAGGAAGCCCCAAATATCAGGGTGACACATACCCCAGCCCTCCTGAGCTTCAAGTGCTTATATTGGCTTCCTTGGAGTTCCATCATACTGTGTTAACCCTTTCTAAGACAATGTGGCAGGCAAGCAAGAGATACAGGCTTAGCAAAGGAACTTATTAGTCATAGTCACTTCTCAAAAGAAACAAAACACTCCTGAATACACTCTGTGCGCGCTCACATCTCTCCCGTGATTCCTGGATTTTATCACCTGTGTATTGGGAGTCTGTGTGTAATCATGTACATTAACCATGCACAAGGTAACACTTTCACATCCCTAGTCGTCATAATATTTTTTTAATTTTAAACAAGTCTGAATTGAACATTTAAATTTACAATAATGTGTCATCAGGGCTAATATCACTACAAGTGATACTTAACACACTCAAAGTCTGCTTAATACAAGACCCATATTCTGTATAGCATCACCTGATATATACAACAACACATAGTATACAGCTATGTTAACTGACCACAAAATAAATCAGAAGCATCCAGTTGTAAACTGAAATTAGTCTACAAATGGACCAAGTTCAATATACCAGAGAAATGCTCTGCTCTCCCATCCCCCCCAGCATTCAGTAGTAATCTGGTTCATTGACAGAATGTGAGGGAGAAGAATGACAATTCTGGTAACAGCAATGCAACTGTGCCATTGCTGCAATGGGTTCTAATCTTCAGAATATTGACCAGGCTCCAGAGAGAGAACTAGATCTTGGTTTTAAATTTCAAGCACGCCTATCCAAGTTAGGGGCCTATATGCCACTTTTGAAGATTAGTTATGCTTTTAAATTCTTTGAAAAATGGGACGTGACATCTCTGAAAACTTCCCTGGTTTCAAGGACTCAAATCTTACACAAGGGAAGTTCTTCTGTGTTTCCACCAAGGTAGGATTATACGATACCCTCCTTTTTTTTTTTTTTTAAATAAAAAGGAGCCTATTTCTCTATTTACATGGTCACCAAATAGCATCATACCTGGAGCTTCACACACAATGAATTAGTACAATAGGTTGCATACCTCTGCAATCAAAATAATCACATTCTACATTTCTACAGCCTACTTCAAAAAACAGATTGGCTTGGACAGCAACACAAGCAAGTTCAGTGAGCACTAATAAAGATACCACAGGGCAGTGTATCAAATTGAGTTACGAACAGGGAATGTGGTCAAGTTAGCTCCATTCTTATTTGATATTGTCAGTGATTTGGAAGTAAACAGCACAGTAATTTGCATGTAAATAGTTGGGGATATATTGAAATATTTGTCTTCAGTGGTCTTTGCAAAGAGATCTTGAGGAGTTAGCATTGGCAGGAAACAGTGAACTTGTTGGGGGGAAATGGAGATTAACACGCCTGGAGAAGACAATTCAAGAAAGGGAGGGAAGTTGCCAGGCAGGCATTCAAAACTGTACTAAATGAGACTCTACAGTTATAATAGGGATGTTAGAAATCTTTGCGGTTACACAGCTATTTGATAGTCCCTGGAGGCGGGGCAAGTAGCCAGTGAGCTCCTAGCCCCACTCCTGGAGAGACCCCGGCACACTGCACTGCTATCAGAGGCAGCAGCATGGGGTGGCAGCAGCCTCTGTTCATGGGAGGTCCAAGCTCCTTGCAGACAGAGGGTGCTGCAATGTAGGGGGAGGGAGGAAAGGAGGCAGGGGAAACTGCTGCAAAACAGCTGGTATGGCAGGAGCCGCTGTCTGTGGGGGTTGTCCCCAGCTCCCTGAGGACAGAGGCTGCTCAGTTCAGAACATCTCAGTATCATAAAAATTTAAATGGGATATAGGATTTACTTAGAAGGAAAGAGTAAGGAATATTTGTGGCTTGGCTCACTGACAACTACAAAAGGACATAAGCCTATGTTTTTGAGAAGTGTGAATACCGAAGAAAGAAGAAATTTAGCACAGTACAATACATAGTGCATAACTAAGAAAAACAGGAAATTAAAATGTTGCCTTAAGAACAGGGGAACTCCCCAAAAGTATGATTTGTAAAACTGGAATGATCTCCCACGGAAAGTTAAGTAGCAAGCCTTGAATGACACATTTAAAACTAAACTAGAAAAAAAAGCCCCACTAATATAGGCAATAGTCCTGCACAGGCAGAGAATGGACTAGAATGAGTTTCTTGAGCTTTCTCTATCCTCTTCAGTTGCTGCATTAATTTAACTCGAATCCTGAGGTTTCCCCTTTATCTTTATTCATTGAATTGTGAAGACCGTTAAGTCTTAGTAATATAACCACTAGGCAAGAGCTTGAATAATTTACTCCATCAATTTTAAAAAAGGAAACTGCCTTTTGCAAACACCACCTCAATGAGCATGTATGGGATGGAAAAAGAATTATTCCATCATTTCTACAGAATTGCTTTTATTAAAAATGTTTGAAGTCTTTATATGTTTGCAACCTGTGAATGGAGGCCCTGTATTCTTCCTGCATCTGAAGCATCTCTAGTCTTTTGGGGTTTGTCTACACTGCACGGCTATTTCAGGATGTAGCTACCCTGTGTCTTAACAAGCTGCCTGATATTTCAAAATATTTTTCAAAACAACAGGCGTGCTATTTTGCCATCCCGATAACACTCATTCCTCGAGGGCTAAGGGATGTCTCAAAAAGGCACAGTATTTCAAAATTTGGTACTGTAAAGATGCACCAAATTTCAAAATAAGCTATTTTTAAGTAAGATACGCAAATTGCGTATCAGAGGCAGTAAGGGCGGGAGGAGGCAGAAGCCAGTGTAGTTGGCTCCCCACAAGCCCCAGATCCTGTGAATCTGCTCCCCCGCCCCCCGGCTCTCTCAAGAGGCAGCAGCGCAGGTGTGGGCAAGTGGGAGCTGATTCGCAAGGGGAGCCAGCTGGTTCCCTGTGCATGCCTGCTCTGTGGAGCTGCCTGCTTCCCCTCAAGAGAGAGGGAGGGAACATGTAAGGACCCAGTGCTTGGGTTAGCTGGTTTAAACGCTGGCTCCCCCTGAGCACTGGCTTTGTGGAGCTGCCTCTCTCCTGCACTGCTGCCTGTGTATCAGAGGGGGAGGGGGGGGGGAAAAGGAGAGGGGGGAGGAGCAGGATGCCAGCGCAGCCTCCGTCCGTGGTAGGTCCTTGCTCGCTGTGGACAGAGGCTGCTTCGTGGGATGGCAGAGCAGCTTCTGTTTGCAGGGAGCTCAGCGCCCCACCCCAGGCAGCTTTTGCTGTATCAGAGGCAGCAGCATAGGGGGCAGGTGGCTCGAGCACACTGGCTGCCACCCCCATCCCCGGGGACTATTGAATAATCATGTAACTGCTCAGATTTGGGGCAGTTACGTGATTATTAAATTAATCGATAGCTAACATCCCTATTCCCAATGGCTTTCAACCTATTTACCACCGTGAGCCACATTTACAGCTCTGCGTTTCATGAACTGCATCCACACAATATATATGGCTATATGGCCCTCAGAGCCACTGGTATAAGCTCACCCACCTTATTCATTAAACACGTTCTAACAGAAGCCCCTTATGTCCGTTAATTTATACACTAGCATGGTTACAGATGGAGGGGCCCTAACATAAATTTGTTGTTTTTGTTTCAACAGTGACTAAGCCAAGCAGCTTATTAGGAGAGTGATGGGGGGGTGGGGTCATCACCAGAGAGAATCATACACAGCTTCAATGATTTCTCTTGGGCATTTTGTTTTTTGGATTTTTTTTGGTAGGGAAGGCAGGAGAGGGAGAAGAGATGTGAACTGGAAAGAATCAGAGCTTATACAGGCTATTTAAAAAGGTTATACATTTCTACTGCCTTTGCAGAGACAAAGAAGCAGTGCTCAAGAGGAGGCAACAGCAGCAGGTCTCCGTCCTATTCATTCCATCAGCACAAGAATGGAGACAGTTTATTAACTGAATGACGTGAAAACATTTTATTTTAAGAACTGTCCTAGTACCTTTACTTAAAACATATTTTTCATTTTATATTGTGATCTGTTTTTTGGCTCTTCCCACATAAATTAGTTATAATTTTAAGCCAGAGCAGAGGCTATTTGTCCTTCCTTTAGATTTAAAAATATTTGTTACACTTATTAAAAAGTTTATTCACCTCAAGCAAAGACTAATTCAAGATAATTTTCAGCAAATACCAAATATGATATTCAGTTTAATTTTAACAATGGGGCTAATACATTTTAATGAACTCTAGTTAGTAAATAACTTTCATCTATTTTTACCTAGCACTAATCCTAAGCAGATAGACTTTCGAAATATCACAGTTACAACAGGTAATTAAAAATGAACAGTCTAAATAATGCAACCAGCTCACTGCTTAAATCATAAAAAGTTTCAGAACTCATACTAACCAATTAATTTTAAAATTAAATGAAAATTAGATTAGTAATTCTTCCTTTTAAAATCCTAATTAAAACAGTTATATTGTCTTTAATAAAGGAAAAGACTCAAACAATTTCTGTTTCATAGCCCACATCTCCTTAGAGTCCTGTTGCCAGTTGGCCATGTAGAATAACTTCCCCTATCCACAATCAGCCTCCTCTATCGCTGGCAAACAGATATAATTTATATGGCAATGACTGCCATTGATATTGAAGGGTAACACTAGGATATTTATTTTTAGCTATTTTTTAGTACAGTTAGCAGCTCAAAATGCCAGTCATCAGCACTACAATAAGCAGACAGCTCTCTCCAAACCATCGAGTGGTTGATATACCAGGTTGGGAACTAATGATTTAGGATCAGTTCATCCTGGATTTTCCTGATTACAAGTTTTCCATACAGAAGGGATAATATGTGATATAGCAGAGTTTTTCTGGCACAGCGATGAAGTGTACATGAAATTCATTCTAACAAGTTGCACATGAATCCAGTTCTTGCATGGATAACTATTCTGTGGGTAATACCCTGAGCTGCTCTTTCCATTTTGCTACTGATTCTTTTGTCAGAAAAGGTGAAGTAAGCAAGCTAGCTTTAAACAAAACAAAACCAACCACCACAACACACCATGCTACATTCTGCATCCCAATTAACTTTGAAAAGTTCATTCTGAATAAAATAAGACATTCAAGGATGAAGGGCAGCTTAATTTATCAGATCATCATATAACAGAATACCCTCACTGAATCTAGACAACCCTACCACATAGCAAGGGCTTGCATTTAAGTGCAACTTGGCTGCAAAAGAGGGCAATAATAGAAACTTTTTAAAAAGTAGCCCTGTGGCACTTTAGAAACTAACAAAAATATACAATATCATGAGCTTTCATGGATAAAAAAATTGGTGCAGTTTTACACTTTTGGAGTGGTCTGCAAAATTTACAAGCTTGACAAGTCATATACAGTACTAGTTTTTGATGTTTTATTGGACCTTTATGGGTTTTTCCTCCAACTTATTCTCAAGGCAGTCTATAGAACTTTGCTTTTTCTCACAAACAGAAGTTAGTCCAATAAAAGATATTCCCTCACCCACCTTGTCAATTAAAAAAAAATCAAATCTAGGTTAGTCAACTTTTGTTATTGGTTACTTTTGCATGGCTCTCAGATTTATCAGCCTAATAAATTTCACTACCTTCTAATGCAATTGAACAGTGTGTGCCTAAGTGATAAACACAAAAGGGAAATCTTTACATTTAAATAAGCTTTATGAAGTAAATATCATGAAAATATTGCAAGTTTTGTAAGGCACTAAATGCATCCACAGCCAAAATCCCCTAAAGTTTAAGCTCCAATGGGCTTCACAAGACACCCTTTCTTGTCTACTGATTTACATCAAGTTTCCGAAAATTACAAAAGTTTATTTTTATCAGTTTGTTCAAAAGTCTCAATTAGCACTGAAATGACTAGTTCTGGAAGGCACATCTCTAGGATTGGAAAGGCTGCTCTTCTCACCACTTACTTTCTGATCCTAAGGGTAAGGTTTGCCAGCAGACTCAAGATACCATCCTTTTGTCTATGAAGTTATGCATGTGTATAAAAATAGAGCGAGAATAAACCCGATTATTTCCTCTCTAAAATAGAAGCCACTGCCTCCCTACTGGGGAATCCGAAGCGCCTGTCCGGTTACTCAGACTCCCACCACATCCTGGGGGGAGTTAGGGCCTCACTCTAAAGCTCCTTGAAGACTTCCAAGGGATCTGGGCCGGGGAAGAGGACTACCAGGTTAGCGCCAGCGAGGAGCCGGGTTGTCCTAGCGCTGACCCCAGGCTCACGGAGATGCTGCACCAGCCTCCCAGCCACGAGTCCAGGAAGGCGGCCGAGGGGGCTCGGACACCAGCAGGGGGGAGGCGGAGGAGCCCGGGGATGGGCAGGAAAGGTCGCCCCAGTTAATTACTCTTGTAAGGCTGCCAAAGTCAACAGAGACCTCTCCTTACCTCCCACAATGAGATACGTGTTCGGGAAGAGGTTCTTTGCCTGCATCAAGGCCCGGGCATGTCCAGAGTGAAATAAGTCAAATATCCCGTCAGCATAAACCCTGACCGGTCGGTCCACTGAGCACAAAAACACAGACGTTATTCGTGGAGAACCATTCCTGGGGAAAGCAGTTGCTGGCCGGGCCTTACTGGGTGCTTCCGAAGACCTAAGAAGCCTTGTGTTCCTTGTGGGAGGAAGCTGGTTGTATGTGTTGTTAGGGAAACAATTATCAGAATGCAGAGCTGTAGCCAAAAAAGATTTGAGAAAGAAAACTGCTGGTTTGTTCCCTCTTCTGCCAGGAGTCAGGGGACGGGAGTGCCAGACTAAGCATGGAACGATCTTTAGAGACAAAACTTAACACCCAAAATGCCATGCGTAGTGTTCTCATGGGGCTAAGTGCAGCTGCCCTGGGACGCGGTGCACACAGCGCGAAAGGAAACCTGGGGAAAATGGAAACATCCAACACCTTCATCTCCAGGAACATGCAACGTGCCAACATTCTGGACAGCAACTGACTACTCCTGGGTGACTTGCCAAAGACTGCACGGGTTTGCGTTATGTTTGCCCAGCAGGCTCCTGGAGGAAATCCTGACATCCTCCCCGTTTCCACCATTAGTTTACTCCTGCCCCACCACCCCATGCTTGAACCTCGCTGCTATAGCTACTGTCCTCTGGTTCTGCGAGCCAATGAGAATTCCTGCTTAGCATGACCTCCAAAAATTGACCAGGCAGGGCACTATTGAGCCAATTGTTATGTTCCTGCTTCCAAGCTAGGGATGTTACATTTCGATTTCATAACTAATGCAATAGGGATTTCCATGGACTATTCCATTAGTTGAGAAGAACTTCTGTGGTTTATAAATAAACAAAATTAAAAAATAAGCCATATTACCTTCAAAGGGGAAGCAACCACATGGAGCTTTGGGTCAGCGGGGGATTCCCCACTGGCCCTGGGCTTCACACAGTGTGCCAGCTTTGAAACGTACATTTCAAAGTCGGCCGCCACTGCACCCCTGCCCCATCCTATGGAGCTGGAGGCAAATGGCTTTTAAGCTGGCTCCCTCCAGCACGCCCTCCTCACTCCCCCCCTTGCTGCCTCTTTGTGATAGAGGCAGCAAGTAGGGGGGAAGGGATTAGTTGACTTGTGTGCTTTTGCTTATCGGGATAGTCAATTAGTTGCTTACATCTATCCCAAGCCCTGCAATTTTGGGGGTCCCACAGTGGCTGCCCCAACCATCCTATGAATGGTAAGGATCTGGGGGATTACAGAGGCCTATAGTCAGGGGTCACCCACCCACACATACACTCACCACACAGGCGACACTGGGAAGCAGGGAGCCCCAGCCCTAGGGTGCTCCACTTCCCGGTGCCGCAGAGAAGCGGGGTGCAACAAGTTGAAAGAGGGCAGCACAGAGGCAGGTGGGGGGCAGAGTAGACTGCTGGGCAGCTCCAGCTTCTGCTGCCTGCATGGTGAAGGGGAGGTGAGGGCAGCATCATTTGGGCAAGTAGGTTGGGGGGGAAAGACAGGGCAGGGGCAGAGCAAGGGCAGGGAGAGGCAGAGGCTGAGGTGGAGCAGGATTGTCCCAGCCCTTTCCCAAGGTAGGGGGATCAGTTATGTGGCCAGTGGCTCTCCTTACCAGTCACCCCTACTCAGCACCCTCACTATACAAATTGTTCCAGCACCACTTCTCACCTCAGACTGGGGTTGCTCTAATAGGGGATTTCAGTGGGGGCAGAGGAAGTAAACCCTATTCAGCTCTCCTTTCTCCACTATGGGGGCTTTCTGATAGCGGGTTTCATGATTAGAGGCAATAAGGTAGGTTCTATATTGTCTCTCCCTACCACCATTTATACATAGATGTGGGACGTGTTTTGCAAGTATTATTGAAACAGTCAATAATTTTACAGCACTTGGGAATGTATTTTTCCTCTTTATTTATTTTGAAGTTGTTTTATCACTTGGTATATATTGCTGTTAGGACACACTATTAACCTTGTTCTGCAGCCTTAAGACCTTTGTGTGGGTTCTGTCACCGCAATCAGGAATTTCATAAATAAATCAGTAAGCATCGCACACATTGACTCAGATACAGAGTTTCTCAAATCTTTGATACTAAAGTTAGGACCAGATTTCACTATCCTTTAAGTCAATAGTAAAACTCACTTTAACTTCAATGGGAACAGGATTGGGACTTGAGACATGTACATTATGAACACATGTACATTATGAACAAGTCACAGCAGGAAAGCTTCAGTGAGGAAGTAGTTAGTTATAAAATGAATGATATTGAAAGAATACAGTGCTTTAAAAGACAGTCCAAACATTTTTTTTACTTTGAACTTGGAAATATTTGTGGATGAAATCCTACTGTCTTTTAAAAAGTACTACACTATTCTGTTGAAATGAGCCAAAGCTTTTTCCAGAGCACAATGGGAAAAGTACAATGTTTTGTACCATTAATACAGCATCTCTCTCTCTCTCTCTCTCTCTCTCTGTCTCTCTCTCTCTCTCTCTCTCTCTCTCACACACACACACACACACACACACACACAGAATTTAGGAAATGCCACACATTTGCCTCTGCAATCTTAATTTATTCCCATTTTGTTCATGCACTATGATACATCTTTTAATTACAAAATCACATACTGTTTTTCCATAGGAATCATGTCTCAGTCAGTGCCAGGATTAGCTTAATAAGAAGTTGTGATGTTACTGGATTTTTGATGTGAACATACAGAATATTTTTACCCCCGCAGTGTGCTCCAAATTTTGTATCAAAGCAGGTCAAGTGAGGTGTCTATTGAAAGTTTATATTTTGTGATTCTGTTTATACTATTCATATGTGTGTATGATTTTTATATGTGAAGTTATAAGTTTTGGCTATGTACTTGTATTTTAAATGTTTGCTTCTGAGAGATATTAGCAGGAGTCTCCCACCTATTGTGAAAGTGCATATAGTCAAGTGAATATGAACAATGAACCATAAATGTGGCCAATACACAACTGAGGAATTCTGCTGTAAATTTGCAGTCAAGCAAGTAGGCAGCTTGCCTAAAAAGGACACGGACAGGTGACTTGCTCTTGTGACCAGGGGTGAAAAACTTGCCAGTCTAGACGCAGCCAACATGTAGCTACATCTACATTGGCCCCTATTACGGAATAGGCATGCAAATGTAGCACTTGGGAAGAAGCAAATGTGCGGGGGATTTAAATATCCCCTGTGGCATTTGCATTTTCATGGCCGCCGCTTTTTTCCGGCTTGGAGATAAGCCGGAGAAAAGCATCCAGCCTGGCACGATCCTCCGGAATAAAGCCCTATTCAAGTAGGAATAAGAGATCCTCCGGAATAGGGCTTTATTCCGGAGGATCGCGCCAGTCTGGACGCTTTTCTCCGGCTTAACAACAGGCGGGAAAAAAGCGCCGGCCATGAAAATGCAGATGCCGCGGGGGATATTTAAATCCCCCGCGCATTTGCCTCTTCCCAAGTGCTACATTTGCATGCTTATTTCGTAATAGGCGGCCAGTGTAGACACAGCCATAGTGTCTACACTAGAACTGACTTCCTTGGGTTAATTCATTTGATAAAAGATGACTGAAAGTCTACTGTTGATCAACCACAAGAATGATAGGGAGCTTCAAAGGACATCTGCAGGAAGAAAGGTCCAGATGTAGAACTTTTTGAAAGATTATTTTGAGATACCATATGAATGGATCCCATCTACTCTGCCCAAGTACAAAACAGCAACAGTGAGAAGTGATGCAGTAATGATATCCTCACCATCTTTTATTCAGCACAGCAGTGTTGTGATTTGACTGATGCACAATGTGACAGGAGCCCTGCTTTGTGATTGGGTACAACTGTTGCATAATGAACAAAATAATTTGCATTAGTCTTAGCTCCATTTTAAACACAGGAAAGATCAATGCTTATCTTAAAAAGAAAAAGATAAAAGCATCTTTATTGTCAAGCATTGTGAGAATATCAAATTAGAAATGAAATTAGAAACTATTAGTTCTTTTAATTTAATAAATAAAGCTATGTTTATTATGCTTTGCTAATAAAGATCTCTTATCATTTAGGGATTTTCTTGTTGTTAGTATCTCATTCTCTGTATTCCATTGGCTTTTTGGTCATTCTCAGCTGTATTTGGGTGAAATTTACTCAGTAGCATAAAAACTCTGAAAAGCTTCTTATGCCATTCCAGTGCTCTGCAGATGGACAGTTGTTTAATGACTGTGTGGAAAACTCTGTGTCCTTTCACGTGTTAGATCTGGGTTCTACTTTACTTAGGCCAGTATGGAGGAAGCACTGTGGGCTGGACAAATGAGGAGGGAGGCATGGATTTGGGGGTGGGTCAGTGATCACAAAGATCCTACAATCACAGAACTCTACACAGGTGGTACATTGGAGTTGTGGAATAAAAGTCATGGAGGGCTACATAGCTGCCCCACATCCTGCTTCTGAGCTATGTGGGGATTTGATCTCTTTCCAATCCCTGCATCCTTCCCTTGCCCAAAGGCTTTGTACATGGTATTTAATTTCATCCTTGTTGTGGATCTGAGAACTTTATTTTGTTCTTGCCTTTGAAGGAATTCAAGGCTTGCTCTAAAATGATAGAGCTGTCCAGATCCTCTGCTGTTGGTCATCTTCTGTAATTTACATCTTGTGCAGGTTACTGTGTGAGACACTGAGATGCAATATGTTCAGGGTCTGTCTGCACAAGTACAACCACATCAGCAACATGATAAAAACAAAGTTGTCCCTGTTACAGACACGATTACCTGATTAAACCTGTTACAGACATGATTCCAATTAATTTGGATTGGATCCAACTGGATCTGAACTGTCTCCCCCAGAGTAGCTTGGTTATTTGACATGGTTGTATCTGCAGTATAGACAGACTCATAGATTACAGTTTTTTCTCATATGATCCTAGTCACAAAGCATGCAAAACTGATAGCCTATTTCAATTAAATTAAAATCCAGGACATCTATGAACTGTGTTGGCTTTTATAGTGCTAAGATGTAGCTGATTTTGCATTCAGTGCTGAGAGTTCAAACTTCAAAGCATCTGACATTACAAGATCTTGACATTACTGAAACAAGCTTTTCCCTTCTAATTTACACATAAGAGAGATCTTAATTTCAACAACTGAAATTATTAAAATAGGTATCAAAGGGTAGGAATAAATGGTCAGATTTCACAGCAGAAAAGGGTAAAATAGTGGGGTATCCTAAGGTTTTATACTGGCACCTATGCTGTTCAATATGTTCATCAATGATCTGGAAAAAGGGGTATGCGGTGAAGTAGCACCATTTGAAAATGATACAAAATTACTCAAGATAGGTAAGTCCAAAGCTGAGTGTGAGGAGTCACTAAGGGCATGTCATTTTGAAATAACCTGGTAGTGTAGATGTAGCCAAAGAGATCTCACAAAAGCAGGTGACAGGGCAACAAAATGGCAAATGAAATTCAATGTTGATAAATGCAAAGTAATGCACATTGAAAACCATAATCCCATAAAACCATATAAAACAATGGCTGTTTCCACTCAAGAAAGAGATCTTGGAGCAACTGGGGACAGTTCTCTGAAAACATCAGTGCAATGTGTAGCAGCAGTCAAAAAGCTAATAGAATGTTAGTAAAGGGGTAGATAAGAAAACAAAAAATATCATAATCATATTATATAAATCAACGGAAATTGAATACTGTGTGCAGTTTGCAGTTTTTAGTCATCTCATCATTATAATATAATTATATCTGAAAAAAGGACAGAGAAGAGCAACAGAAATGATTAGAATTATGGAACAGTTTCTGCACAGGAGAGGTTAGAAAGACTGGCACTGTTCATTTTAGAAAAAAAGTTAGTAAGGGGAGGGCATATGATAGAAGTCTATAAAATTATGAATAGTGTGGAGAGAGTGAATAAGAAGTGTTATTTATGCCTTCTCATAATACCTTGTGGTCATCCAAATAAATTAATAGACAGGTTTAAAACAAATGTAAGCAATATTTCTACACACAACACATAGTCAACTTATAGAATATTGTGAAGGCCAAAAGTATAAATCGTTTCAAAAAAGAATTAGAGAAGTTCATGGATATTAATATCAATGGATATTAGCTGAGATGGTCAGAGAGGCAACCCCATGCTCTGGGTATCCTCAACCAGTGTTTAATTTTGTAATAAAGAGGTTCTGGGGCTCACACACTTGTTTTACATTCATAATTATTCAGCAAGTGTGGAAGTGTCAGGGTTATGAACTGCCAAGCCTTGAGGTGTTAGGGCTCAAGTGCTGGCAAGCCCTGGCACAAATTAGGCACTGCCCTAAATTTCTGACGGACAGAAACTGGGATTGGAAAACAGAGGATGGATTGCTCGGTCACCTGTTCTATTCATTCCCTCTGAGGCACCTGACACCAGCCACTGTTGGAAGACAGGCTACTGGGCTAGGTGAAACATTTGTCTGACCCAGGATGGCCATTCTTATGTTCTTAATGAGAAACTTGGTGGGAAAATGGATTCTAATATTACTGGAATGATCCCACTAGCTCAGTTCCTGGTCTTGGAGTCAATCTTAAAAAACAGAGACATTGGACAATGATAAATGTTATGGAGGGCTCAGGACCACAAAGCTATTTAGGAGCCTCATTTCCACTGAAATCAATGAAAGTTAGGAGACTAAATAACTGGAGATCTGGCAATATATCTTAGATTATTGCAGCTCTTTTATTAGGATCCTTCAGCAGGGACCATACAGTGAAAATAGCTTTACCAAGATTTCAACATATAGTGAAATACTGGGTGGGGGGATTGTTTATTGGTGACTAGGGCACTTCCATAGACTTACTATATGATACCAAATTTATCACATCCTATCTCCCTCCTTGGTTTTCATGATGCTGGTGCAATTTGTGCAATGTAAAAGCCCAAAATACCAAACAGTATTATGCATTTGCAAACTTTCTTTTTCTTTTACAGAAATTCCTAAGGCTACAACCTCCTGTCCTTCTCATTTGAGAGTGCTGTGGCATCATAGAAAAAAAAAGAGCTCATGGTTTCATACTGCTGCCTATCACTGTATTATGAGTGCCTTTCACGTAAAAGTGGTTAGTAATAACAAAGATCTTAGTGTGGTCTTCATGGAGCCTCTGATTCTTCTCCCTTTTCTTCAGAATGTTATCTGATGTTCAAAATAAGTGATTGCTTGTTGTTATATAGCAGGGAACATCTGGACAAGATTTTCACATGGACAGAAACGAAGGATTACTCCAAAGTGTATTTAAGTCAATGAAAAGATTTCTAGTTCTCCATTGATTTGAATAGGCAATCTTTGCATCAGGCCCTTAAATTAGCGCCTGTGTCCAGGAAAAGCTCCAGGATCCAAATGGTTCTCCTGTGACTTTTATAATACCCATGCAATGCTCTCTTGTACTTATTTTATTATTTAAAAGATATACTATCATTATTTGCTATATACGGATTAAAGTAGAGCTCGAAATGTGCTAGGGATTTTCCAAACACAGAGCAAGTAACCAGTTTCTTTCCCGAAGAGTGTAGTTTATGCAAAAATAGTTATTTTTTCCAGGAGGGTTTTAAATGAGGAGTGTTAGAGGCTTTGGGGACCAGCTCAGAAGTATCTGTAGCAAAAATTTATATTTTAGTTAGTATTGGTTATAAGACTATAAATATGATGTATAATTTCATGTATAATGACTTGCTTAAAAGGTCTGTGGCTCCTATTTCTCTCTGTCTCTCATGATTAGATAATGTTTACTGTAAGGCCTTGTTCCCTGTTAGCATTACAAATTAAGTTGTATCTCTTCTCTGCATCACAAACTAAGTTGTTTCTTCTAGTAACCATTGATCTTGTCTGAAACTCAATACAATTGTTTGGTGTGAGTAGAGGGTGTGTGTGAGTGAAAGCCATCACAGATACCCAGGTGATAAAAAAGAAGTGGAAACTTTGAAGATAACAAGGGAACAGCCATTGAGTCTTGAGGCTGAATTGAATTAGCAGTATTGAGGAACCCTGGAGACAGGCAGAGACCCTCTCAAGAGTGAGACACACCTCTGGGCAGTCTGATAATCACCATCACAGAATAACTCCCCAAAACACAGATTAACACTTCCTAAGGGTGAATGATGGCAGCATGACACTGCAATATCCATAGACCAAAATGGGAACTAATAGGCTACGTCTACACTGGCATGATTTTCTGGAAATGCTTTTAACGGAAAAGGTTTTCCGTTAAAAGTATTTCCGGAAAAGCGTGTCTAGATTGGCAGGACGCTTTTCCGGAAAAGCACTTTTTCCGGAAAAGCATCCGTAGCCAATCTAGACACACTTTTCCGCAAAAAAGCCCCGATCATCATTTTTGCGATCGGGTTTTTTTGCAGAAAACACTACTGTGCTGTCTACACTGGCCCTTTTTTGGAACAGTTTTCCGGAAAAAGACTTTTGCCCGAACAGGAGCAGCATAGTTTTTCCAGAAAAGCACTGATGATTTTATATTAGATCATCAGTGCTTTTCCAGAAATTCAAGCGGCCAGTGTAGACAGCTGGCAAGTTTTTCCGGAAAAGCGGCTGATTTTCCGGAATAACTTGCCAGTGTAGACACAGCCACAGAGAGATAGTTGTGTTAGTCTGATCTTGGTAAAACAAAAGGAAAATATGTAGCACTTTAAAGACTAACAAGATAGTGTATTAGGTGATGAACCACCTAATAAACTATCTTGTTAGTCTTTAAAGTGCTACATATTTTTTCCTTTTGTTTTACCAAATGGGAACTGACATGTATAAGCAGGGAAGCTCTGGCCATGGGACTCTGGGTTCAGTCTTGCAAGCCAAGCCTCAGAGGAGTCTCAGAGGAACACTGACTCCTCACTCAAGTCAGCCTGGCCTGACCAGTAAGACTGACTTGAGCCACCATGGACTGGTAACTATGCAACAGCTGCAGGACCTCTGTAAGTGTATGTGTGTGTTTTTCTTTATAAAGCATATACTAACTGCTTCTCTACTGTATTCTCAATAAACATGGTGTATTGCCTTCTCCCCTGAAAAAGACCTGTGTGCTTCTTATAAGCATAACATATCTGATATGTAGGGGACGGTGTGAAAAAAGCATTGAGATACTTGTAGGAAAGACAGACAAACAGGGTGATGAGACTGGCATAACAGGCAGAATAGAAAGAATGACAGGGCAGCAAAGTAAGAGTCAAGGATAGTTAGGTGCAGAGTTATGTAGGGCCTTGAGAGCTGACCACAATGAATTTGCTATGACAGAGAAGGGAATCCAGTGACAGGATTCAAAGTGGGGGTGTGAGTAGGGTTACCAGGTAGACCCCCCCTAAAAAAACAGACACACTTGATCGTGGGTGGGGGGGAGAGGGACCAGCTGGGAGGGAGGCGGGGCTGGCCAGGAGGCAGGGCTGGCAGGAGGGGTTGGGGGCCACTGGGCTGGACAGGAGGGGGGG